CCCCCTGCCGGAAGATGCCCCCAGCCAGTGCTTTGCCCCATTCCCCCCAGCACCACCTGCTGGGAGAGGCTGGGAACCCCTGCTTGACAGGCAGCCTGGTCTGGTTTAACTGACGTGTTTTATTCCATTCCCCAGCCTAGCCCCCATGCAGTCCCACACTGGGGCATTTGCTGGCCCCATGGCAAGGGGGCACAGGCTCCCCCTCCTATCAGAGTGTCCCTCCCGAGCCAGCCACCCCCTGTGGCAAGCCACTTCTCTGGGCCTACAGCTCCCTCTGTGGCCGGGCACCAGATGGCCCCGCAGCCACCGGGTGAGAGCAAAGCCCCTGTGGCTGGCAGGATGGCAGAGGCTCAGCAGCCGCAGGCCATGGCTCCCCTGGGGAGGACAGTGCAGGGGACAGCCCTCACCTGGGCTCAGGGGTGTGTGTGATGCAGGATGGGTCGTTTCTCCCTAGCTCCCCCAGCACAGGGAGCAAAGAGCTGGGCCGTTACCACTGTCCCTCAGCGTCAGGTGAGGTGCTGCCCAGGGGACCCCTGGGATCTTGCCTGGGCTAGCGAGGAGGGGGGAAGAGGCAGTCCAAGCGGTGGCGGAGAGCGTGGCTGGGAGGCAGGGGCGCAGCTCAGCTCCTGCCTGGCTGGGGGCCTGGGCCAGGGCTCAGGAGCCAGAGGGCTGCAGCTGCCCCTTGCAGACGTACTCCAGGGCCGTGGCGATGGTCCGCATGTCCATCTCGATGCTGCGCGCCCAGTTCTCCACGTCGCCAATCTCCTGTGGGGCAGAGGAGACCTCAGGGCCCTGCTTGTCGGGATACGGTGGGGTCCACAAGCAGCAGGCTGGGCTGTGCATGCCCTGGGTGCAGTTTCCCTACCCCCGGCCAGCTGAGGCTGCTCGACTCGTGGCACCCTGCAGTGCGCAGCGTGAATGGCACAGGGGCCCTGGGCCAGCAAAGGCAGGATCCGGCCAGCCTCGCGCTGCTGGGGGCACCCCTGGCCTCGCCCGCGCCAGGCAGACGGGCTATCTGGCGCCCAGGCCGCAGGCGGGCGAGGCTGAGGGGGAGGTAGTGCTGGGCACACGGCCATGCCAGCCCTGCAGAATGGGCAAAGGGGGCGCGTGGGGTGGCTATGGCACAGGGGCCCTGGGCCAGCAAAGGCAGGATCCGGCCAGCCTCGCGCTGCTGGGGGCACCCCTGGCCTCGCCCGCGCCAGGCAGACGGGCTATCTGGCGCCCAGGCCGCAGGCGGGCGAGGCTGAGGGGGAGGTAGTGCTGGGCACACGGCCATGCCAGCCCTGCAGAATGGGCAAAGGGGGCGCGTGGGGTGGCTCAGCCTTTGTGTGGCGAGGAACGCCGTCCCGCCTCTCCCCACAGCCGCCGGGCACAAAGCCGGCTTTCAGGGCTCCGGCCAAGCCAGGCTCAATGGGCCAATTCTCTTGGAGAGTCTGGTGCGGGCAGGCCAAAGGGAGAATAAACCCTGAACAAACGGCTCTGACTAGCCAGCGTGGGGGGAGAGCGGGGGCGCAGCTCCAGCAACGCCAATGGCCACGTGACGGGGCATAGGGAGATGGACAGGGCGCTAGGGGGTCCCAGGCCTGTGTCACCAACCAGCTATCTCCACCCTGCTCCACACCATTCCCGCACCCTACAGCCAAAGGATCCTGGGAAACAAGCCCCTTCCCAGCTGACAGACCTATGCTCCCCTCTGGGGGCCATTCCCAGCCCCGGGCTGGAAGCCAGAGGGGGCTGGGTGAGGGAGGTTTCCTGGAGGTTTCTCCGCCCTCGGGGAGGTGGGGGAGGCAGGGCAGGAGGTCGCCCACTCCGCTGCGCGTGTCCTAGGCAGGGCAGGGTGGACAAACCTTGAGTGCCTGGTTGAAATTTTCCACCATGCTGATCCACTGGCCCGTCTGCTTGGCGAACTGGGCAGCTTGGATCTGCAGCGTCTTCACCTCCTGGTCCAGCTTCCTCTGGTTCACGTAGGCCTGGGCCACCCTGCGCAGGCAGGAAGGCAATTGGTTCCCGGCAGGGCCCATCCCAGCCAGCCCCTCTACACCCACCTCCCTGCCTCCCCCTTCGGCCCCCGCAGCGACTGGCCGGGGTCCAGAGGCCCAGGATGGGGCAGACCTCGGGGGAGCTCGCCCGGAGCGGGGCGGAGGCAAACGCTGGGAGTCTCAGGCTGGGGAAGTTCCCAACTGGGACCCATTAGCAGGCCCTGGGAGCATCTGGTTCTCATCAGGCCAGGCAGCACAGGCAGGTGAAAGGCAGCACACGGGCCACCAGGTGAGCCAAGAACACAGCAGGGCCGCTGGAGGGAGGAAGGGATCCTGCCAGGGGCATGCCAGGCAAGTAGACCCAGGCCCTGGGGGAGGCACGTGGCCTGGGCCAGCTTCAGCGCTCATGGACTGGATGGCAGAGCAGCCCCCTGGCAGGTACACGAAATGGACTCGCAGTGGTGAGGCTGGGAATGGGACCAGGACTCCTGTCTCCTAGACACCCTGCTCTAGCCACCAGCCTCTGCAGCTCCCGTCTCTCCCCAGGGATGCTTCAGCCTCTCTGCTCGGGGGTGGTTAGCACTGGGGGGCCCTTTCCATGGAGAACAGGGCTAGCCAGCTCTTATTGTCCCACCTGGCCCGCGGAAGCCAGCAGGGCTGCCCTGGCATCTCAGGCACAGGGGCTGGCAGGCGTGGCCCACTCAGACAAGTTATTTTCCCTAGGGACTAAGAACAGGGAGCTCCAGGCCTAGCAGGGGAGGAGCCTGCCTTAGAGGAGTTTGTGTGGCAGGGAGCGCTTGGAGACCACGTAACGCCCAGCCCAAGGGGCATGGAGTGCTGGCAGCAGGGCCCCCCGCCCTGCAGCCCTGCGCGGCTGGCAGCAAGCCCCAGATCACTGGGCTGCGGGTGCCCGGAGGGCTGGCGCCTTTGCTAGGGTGAGAGCCGAGGTCATGGATGCAGGGGTTCAGCGAAGGGGCAAGGAGCCCAGCTGCCTCTCGGAGCCCCCCAGGGAACCCGCAGCATGACGCTGACCAAAGCCTTTATACCAAGCCCATTGCTGGCAGGGAGCTCAGGGGCTGTGTCCCTGCCCCGCAGGGGAGCCCCTTGGCCAGGTGCCCACGGAGGGAGCGGCTAGCTGCCCAGAACCATGCGGCATGTGCCCTTCCTGGCGCAGGACTCGCTGCCCTTGGCACATTGCTTAATGCAGCCGAGCTCAGAGCGTGGCTTCAACGTCCCCTCTGCCAAACCGCTTCCTGCACTGGTGGGGGAGGGGGATCCGGACAGGGAAATGTCCCATTCAGAAGGTTACACAGGCATTTAGCCCCCAGCCCCAGCGAGAACCATAGGGGGCCAGAGAGGACCCAGGGGAAATATGCCCCCGAGCACCACACAGAGCGGGACCCCACCACTCACCTGGGCCGGAAACCCAGAGCATGAATTTTAGTGCTGCTCAGAGATTCAAGATTCACAGCCCTGAGACTTACCCCCCTCGGGGCTGTCCCCGGCCTCAGCCGACCGACCAGCTTCCCCCTTCCCTGGGCAGAAGATGGGGACCCGGACCCATGTATTCGTCTGGCTCTGTGATGTGAAGGGGTCACGTCCCAAAAGCACATCGCTATCCCCACTCCGTGGTGGGCAGAGGCCTGCAAACTCATGACACCCAGGCCATTAAGCAGCTTGGGCAAAAGATTTCACGTCCCATCATGACGAGCAGTACAAGCCCCGCTCGGGCCATGTACCCCACCAGACTGAGGCTTTCCCGTTAAGAGATGGGCAAGTGCCTGAATTCAGCTTAATTAACCAGGTAACGCCATGACGACGGGCTCCTGGCCTTGCCAGCTCTACTCCATTTGCTCTCACCACCTGATCCTCTGGCCTCAGAGACACCCTCCCCCAACGGCCTGCTAGTGCTGACTCCAGGGCTGAAGAGGGGCACCCAACAGGATGGATTTCCTGCCAATGCCGGAGCCAGCTGGCACCAAAAGCAGGGCAGAGCACAGGGTGATTTAAAGACGGGTGTTGTGGAATGAAACCCAGGCTTCCTCCAGGCCCCCCAAGCAGAACCAAGCCCCGTGGAGAAAGTGAGAGTGAACCACCCCCCGCCCCTTTCATTTACGACAATGGTTGCTAGGCTGGGCGTCCCCTATACAGCTGCAGAACCAGGCTCCCTCTGACCATCACCCAGGAGACTAAGCACGGTGCGTTTCAGTCACCATGCCCCAGCCAAACCTTTGGCCTCCCAGTGCAGACTGCCCACGAAGTGCCAGCCGAGTGGGCACTGGACTGAGCCCTGCAAAACTCATGTCACGTAGCCCACTGGGCAGACCAGAGACAGCAACGGCTTTCACTTGCAGTTTCCTGGGGGGTTCCTGGAAATCCCATTCCTGACCCAGGGATGCACCAGTGAAGTGCCCATCACTGTGTCCCAGGCAAGACATGCTCCAGCCTTGGCTGCACCCAACGCTGCTGAGGGGCCGGGCAGCTTTGCCACTCACCCTACGTTCAGGTGGTCTGTCAGGGCCTCGGTCAGGCAGGTTGCTGCAGCAATGGCCTCTCGCCGTCTCCGCTCTGCAAAGGAAAGGCTCCAGCTCCTTAGAACGTGTGCCGAGAGGAACCCCAAGCCCCCCTGGAGCTTTATAGACTAAGGCATTGAGCTAGTTCTAGAGGGCGAGGGACCTGGGGCCAGCGTGTGGGTGCAGGGTGGGCTCCATCCCCGGCTCTGGGGGGCCACAGCCAGGACGCCTGGGTCCAGTGCCAGACCAGGGCGTTTTGG